CCTTGAGGAACTCCCATCCTTCTTGGACTCCCAGATCACAGATGTGATTACCCCTCAGTCCCACTCCAACTAAATCTCCTGAGCTCATTGAAGTTGGCTTTCCAAAAGAATAGCACTTCTGCCCTACAAGCTGTCTTTCCCACTTTTTGTCAGATAGTGAATCCTATCAACTGGTGGTCACTATCCCCTACATGACCTTGTACCTGTAGGTTCCCCACCAATTCCTCCCCTGTGGCCAGCACCAAGTCAAGTACGGCATTTCCCCTAGTGGGACTGCATACCTGACAATTGTTTGTAACCATTACAAATATACAGAGTTGGAAGAGACTCTAAAGAAAATGTTTTAAATTTATCAAGTGAAGCAGTGCATTTCCATCTACAGGCAGGCAGTATTTATCCCTGACAGCTCTCTTGTAACTTGATAGGTAAAAAGAGCCCACTTTCACGGTTCCCACCTGCAGGCTGTGAAGAATGTGCCTGATAAGAACAAACCTGATGTGCGGCCTCGACAGTCCACTTAGCACGTAGGTGTCTCTTGATCTCCTTCCCATATAATGTGCAGGTTTGTGCTGTGTAAGGGATGGGTGAGGGGAGCACAGGCCCGAGGCACTGCTTGGGGTCACAAGCTTGCAGTCAACTGACCTCACCTACAGCCCCAGCAGCAAGGAGGAGCTTTTTCCATTGCCCCTCTGTGCTTGGCAGCAGTGCCTCTCTGGGTCTCTCCTCTAACATGAGCCTTTAAGGCTAATGCACTGGCAGTCTGGGCAGTTTACTGGCAAGTGGAACAGGCAGATAGCTTGGATCCGAGTACCAGTTCATTTATTACAGTAAGATGGGAAAGTTCCCAACATGCCGCCTAGATCCCAGGCTGAGCAGGACTGTGCAGGCCCTTCTGCTCTCCAGGATGCTGCGCGCCCAGGTGGGAAGATCACAGGCGCTAGCCTCTGCCTCCCACTGCACACAAAAACTCGCATGGAAGGGCCCTGGCACAAGGAGTGGGCTGAAGAGACTACAGGGCCACACATGACCACCCAAAGCACATCTGCCAGAATTGTGGAGCCTGTCTCACTACCAGGGGCAAGCACTAGAGAGCCCAAATGTTCCTAGTTTCCAGGCCTAGACCCTGACCAGACTAATGGGACAGTGACCTCACTTTGCAGGGGGATGCAAATTTACTCAGAAGAAAAACCCAGCCTTTGACACCAAGCAGCACCTACAGTCATTTCAGTGAGTGAACAGAAGAAACTACTTTCCCAGCCAGCAGTCACATTTTTTGACTGGACACCACATACAGGTAAGACCACTGTCCCCCCAGTTGGAGCATGGACAGACTGGGCAGAAGGATTTTTAAAATAGGAAGTAGGAAGGGAAATAAAAATCCCCTGGGGAACAGGAAAGTGTAGTGGTGAAACCCCAACCAGTGGCAGGCAGGTGTAGTTAACCAATTTAACCAGGCTTCAATCTGGGCCTTGGATTTTAGGCTGAGAGATGAGCAACCCAATCCTAACTCTGGGCCTCACTCCTAGCCCATTCTCCCCCCACCCCCCCATCAGTTTGTTTGTTTGGCAAAGCACCAACATGGTGGCACATCAGCTGTGCTCATCCAACCAGGAATCTGGGGAAGAATATAGGAAATAAGAACATAAGAACCGTCATTTACTGGGTCAGACCATAGGTCCATCTTTGCCCAGTATCTTGTGTCACACAGTGGCACAGAGTGGATGCTGAGAGAAAAAGTGAACTAGGTTTGACCAGAGTTTTTTTCCACTTTTCCTTTCCTACTTGCAGCTTCTAGAATTTGATAAGGTCTAAGAAGTTCTGATTCAGAGGCTGTATCCCTTCCTCCCAAGCTCAATAGCTACTGATGCCCTTTGGTTTGGGGAGCAGCTGATGTAGCTCTGAAAGAACAGAATGAAGGAGCAAAATCCACCCCTGCCAATAGACAGGATCAAGGAGTGTGTCTGCTGACAGACAGCAGGGATCACACCCCAGTTGAACCCTAGAAAAAGCAAGGCTCCAAGCCAGAAAGAGGTGCTTAGCCAAGCTCTGAAGAGTCTCCTTCCTCTACTGGCTCCCTACATCCCTGTTCTTGGGCATTTTTGTAAGTTCTAGTGCATCAGGGAAGCTTTGGCAAGACTAGAAAGGCAAGGGGGGGGAGGTCCTCTGTCTCATCCCAACCCCCACTCTCAGGTCCATCATAAACATGTACTTCTGTAGGCAGCCCTCCACCCTTAGACAACCCTCCCTGCCTGGTCTCATGCACTGCCAGCTCCCAGAGACACCAGTTTATCACATCCGGCAGTGAGACTCCTTCATAGAACTCAAGACTGTCTTGTAAAAACAGCTCAGCTGAGAGCATGCCTTGAGTACGTGTGCTGCTAGGGCACAGCCCAGGCAGAAATGGAACAGGACTGGGGCTGCAGAGAACCTGAAGAGTCAAAAATGACCCAGATCTGAGAGGTCCAAGATGTTCCAGAGAAGAAAGTTCTGAATAACTAGACTAAGAAACTGCAGATGACTGGCTTCTCTCTGGAGCCTACACTCAGCATAGCTTTCTCCCCCATTGCCTCCCTTTATTCTTTCCACAAGCAGGCTGCTTAGTCTTGGCCTGAAGCACCCACACTAGTCTCCAGGGCTTAATCAATCTTTTGACCTCTAAGCCAACCACCAGGTGCCAAAAGGATGCCAAGCTGACATGCAGCCAGCTCAGCTCCTGTAAACCACCAGATGGCACAAGTTTTCAGTCATCATTAAACTTTTGACAGTCTGTATTCAGGCCCGAGGGCACGTCTGCCCTACCAGCAGATACTTGTCCCATGCAATCATTCTTGTTGTGTGTGCTAGAGTCCAGAAAGAGAGCACCATAGCCACTTGAGAGAGACACCAAGTGTGCACCCAGAGCTGCTCTCAGGCTGTCTTGGACATACTTTATCAAGAATGCTCAGGGCTTCTCTGAATAGCTACAGTGCCTGGTTCCTGGGATTTGGCATGCAAGGAGCAGAAGCAAGTGGGCAAAGCCTGCTTTGCAGCAACACTCCTAGACTCAGTGCAGAGGCAGCTAGACATGCCCAAGGAGGCTTTGCACCCACAACCAGCTCTCCCCACCTCCGTCCACCCAAAGATGGGCTATAATATGACACTGAAAATATCCAGGCAGAGACCAGCAACATGAAGTAGTCAGCCAAGCGACTGACACCCACAAGAACAGAGCATGAAGAACCCTTTGCTGGCCTGAAAATATAAATCAGCTGAGCGTCACCCCCACATGGTTCCACCTGGAATTTCAGGTCATTTCAGTCTCCTGTTCAATAACAAGCAGCAGCTCCTAGGCTGGAGAATGGGGAGAGGCAATGCAGTTCACATGCTATTGTTGTCTGTGAATAAGCGACTGTTCCAGCCTTGAACCTGGAAAGTCAATAATATGCAGAGGGCAGAAGTGGCTAGAACCTCTGGCCTTTAAATGTTTCCTTTGGATGGAAGAAGGGAGATGAGGGAAATAGCTCTCCTGGAAAACAAGAGACTAATTGTTCGTTTTGTAATACTGGACATGCCACCTGAGGATCTTTAAAAAAAATACAATAAAGCAACAGAGAAAGACTGAACTGGGCTCATGCACCCACAAAAGGAAGATACATTAATTCTGCAAGCTCAAGCCAGAGGAAAAAGCCTCTCTCTCTCTCATATTCTTCAAAAACCCAGGATCTGGACTAACTCAGCTGAACCCGAATGCCAGCTGCCCAGGCTCCCAAAAAGAGAAGGCACCTGGAAAAATACTCAATTTTTATGAGTTTTCTCTTAACCTTTCAGATACCCAGCTCCTTTCCACTACTGCAAAGAGGCACAAATACCATAATTTAGGGAGCATTGAGTGCTGCGATCTAAAGTCTATTTAGGGCTCAACATAGCTGCAAGTTAACTCTACAACCATGACTCCTGCCAAGATACCAACTGAAGCCAGTAACACTGTTAGCCCAAGCAAAGGTTTCCAGCATCAAGTCCATCACTGGTGTGGCATTACATATACCAGCAAATTAAATAGGACAGGGCTGATCTAGTTGCCTTGGCCTCAACTGCATTTCCCAGCACTGAAAAAAATCAGTCCAATGTAAAGCTATCATGGCCAGTTGCTTCAGTTGTTCTCTCCCCCGCAGACCTGACTGCACTTTGCAGTCCAAGTCTGGTTAATTCTGCAGCTGTTTCAAAGAAAGTTAACTGCATGCCTGCCTCACCTACATGACAAGTATTAAACTCCTTCCTGCAGCAGAGAGGGAGGGGGACCAGGTGTTTAGCCTAGCAGAGCACCCCTGATACTGTGTGGTGGTGCAGTAGCGACCAACCATGCACACCTGTTAAGATGCATCCTGCAGGCTTCTCATAGAGATTAATTGCTCTACAACTCCAATAAACTGTTTGAGTTGAATGAAACTAGTTTGCAAACAGCATGACAAGAATGCCATTTGTCTGCAAGATGCCCTGCCCAATTTGCAAGACAGCAGGTAGCCAGCCTATGCACCAGTAATAGACTGGCATGAAGCAACAGGCAAGGGTCCTTTTTGGAGGAAAAAGGGAAGAGAAGCTGTGCTGTAGGTATGGCAGTGCCTGAACTAAAGGAATATCAGAGTTTCATATGGGCTGGTGCCAGGCTCTGCTCTGCCAGATATCTACAGCAAGTCAGCAGTTGGCAGGCAGAAATAGAAAGAGGCAGTAGCCATGTGTCACCCAAGCTGGGCCTCCAAACAAGTGGGTCTTCCAAAATCTAGTACTTTTCCAGAGGAATGAAGGAATACCGTTACTGTAACAAAGCCTCTGCTTTCCATCAATGCAGCTGAATGCAGTTTGCTTGGCAGGGGGATCCCATGTTGTGGCATGGGCCTAAACAAGGAGCTGGTGAACCAGGGTCAAGTATTGAAGAGAAAAGCAGAAGTTCAGGCTGAATCTTGCCACCACCACTAAGCTTAACCAGGCCCAGCCAGGCCAGCAGCTCCAGCTGCCTCACTCACCTCCTCAGGGGTCCCCCATATCCACTCAGGCAGCTTTCTGCTCACTCCCACGCCAATTCCTTTAGGCAACAAGCTCTTCTGCTAGCTGCAATGGAGAAATAGTCATCAGCATGGGTGACCAGTGCAGTTGAAAATAAAGACTTATTTCAGGAGGCTGAAAGCAATGTCTATATCCCTCCCAAGTATGCAGGTAGCCCAATAAAATCCATCACCTACAGAAATCCTTGCCCTAAATCTCTTAAGACAGTGTCCACTGTACTGTTTCCTCTCCTCTTCCCCATCCCCTGGGCTCCAATCCGTCTAGACTGTGGTTGACTGAGGTCTGGATGATTTCCAGATGCACTGTTCCAAGTCCTGTCCTTGGAAAGAGGCCACAGTCACCAGTCCCTAGGGCTACACTCTTGGGGTGGGATGAGGCAATCTGTGGCTGGTCCCTGGTAAGAAAACAAGCCCCTACCAGAGCCAAGGCCTTGCTACCTTTTGCACATTCCAAGCCAAAACCTCTCTGTCTTTTCCATGGAAAAGGCAAAGGCAAAGTCCAGTTGGCTTAGCCATGGCTTATGTCCAGTATTTAATCTGTTCTCAAGCTATAAGGGGAGGAGTCCCCATTTCTCCTCCTTTTTTTTCTAATATATAACAGTGACTCTCAACCACAGTGTCACAGCATCATGGGGTGCCGTGAGATCCTTTTAAGCTTGCCATGGGATGCTATTCAATATTAGCACTGCTAGGTGTGCCAACACCAACATGTGATTCACAAGAGAAACCCAAAGACTTCAAACAGGAATCCATGGCATCAAAGACATTCTGCAACCTGTTGTGTTCTTCTGAGTCCTTTGCAAGAGAAGAATGGCTCTTATTTTTCCACAGTCAAAAAAAGGAGACAAAAAAGGTAAGATCTGGCATTTTCCCCAGAGGTGCCTTGAGTCTAATGATGGGCACCTGGAATCTAAAAATGTTGAGAGCC